AAAGCATATGCTCCACACATCACATTACTTTGCTCTTCAAACATTTCATTGCTTTTTATTGTGCTTCCAAGTGCAATTCAATGTACTTGTGTTGATCTACAAAGTTCTAAACTATGTGAGACTAGGAAATTTAAAGTATTATTTATTTCCAAATTAATGTTAATCCAAGAGTCTATCTGAATTGTGGTAGGATATGAATGTTGGTAATTTATTATCATAATTAGAAACCAGATTCTGTAGCATAATTACAGAATTTACTACCAAAGAAGAAAAAAATTGCCTCCCTTCTCGTTCTGCTTTCAACGAATAAATACTCTACATTTTCAGAACATACAGTGTATGTAGAGCTCTCTGGGCCTCAAAGCAAAACTCTCACAAGGAGCTGTGCAATTTGAGAGTTAAGTTGTTGACTCTCTCCCAATTGAGATTGGTTTTGAGAAAGAGAAGAGAGACATCATGAGCTACTTTATCTTCTCTGCTGCTGTTACAACATGCTTAAGCCTCACAACAATCTCCTCTTACACTCTTAGTCATTACAAAGCATCCCATTCCTGGCTGACGACTAGAAGGTAACTGTCAGTAATGGCACTACTACTGTTGTTGAGGCAACAGCTTACTTGGGAACAACAGTGGAGAATGATGAAGTAGCAGTAACTCTACCCTCACATGCCATTCTTCTCTTGTTGGAGCACTTGTGAGACCAGGCTTATTTCTTTGAAAGACTGAAGGTATGGAGCAAAGGAGAATCTGGAGTATCCTGTATTTCTGAGCTCTGTAGAATTAAGCTATTAATTTTTAACTGGGAAAAAGCCTTGCCTTTGCTATTTGGATGCCCCTGCTTTTAACTCTGTGATGCTATGTTATTATTTAAATTAAACACCTCTCTCAAAGTTGGAATTGTATTGCTTGATTGCATGGTAAATATTGATATTTTTATTGCAACAAGTAATCCTCAACTTATGATCACAAATGGATGGCAATTTTGGTCATTAAGTGATGTGGTCACTAAGTGAGTCATCAGGTGACTGAACTGGAGTGTACTACCATTTTTACTGTGGTGGTTAAGTGAATAACAGCATTCGTTAAATGAATCCAGCTTCCTCCCTTGACTTTCCTAGTTGGAAACCGGATCAGAATGTAACAAATCATGACCATGACTGCAAGATGCTACAACCATCATAAATGTGAGCCAGTTGCCAAGCACCCAAATTATGATAATGTGACCTTAGGGTGGTGCAATAGTTGTAATTTCAAGAAGCATTATGATCATAAGTCACTTTTTCAGAGGCCGCCATAACTTTGAACCAATGATAACCATTGGCATAATGATAAGCAGATAAAAGTAGTCAGAATTAGTTCCCCAACTGATAAAAACATATAAACCTATGTAAGCTTCCTTGTTATCAGGTCAGAAATCCATTTCCTTATCAATTTGTCTCAATGTTGTTGAGAATTTTAATTTATATATTGATTCTAAATTGAACATAAATAATTGCTGAAATTCAAGTAAGCACATCCCATCTATCTCAATTAATTTTGCTAAAAAGAATTCTGTAACACTCATACCTCTAAGAGGAACTTTCTATTTAAGCAGTTGTCAATCAGTCTGATACTAATTTACCATAAACATTTTGTCTACAGCTTTAACTTCCCATACACTATTGATTCAACCATATAAGGAATGCATATCAAAACTCTGCAGTTAATCTAAACCAGGGGTGAAATCTATTTACCTTCCCTACTGGTTTGGAAGTGCTTGTGCGCGTACGTCACGTGCGATTTTTCAGAAGGTCAAAAACAGATTACTTCCTGTTTTTACTTCCTGTTAAAACCAGGAAGTAATGACGTCTGGGGGGGTGGGCAGAGCTTTGTGCTGCCGCCACTACCAGTTCACCAAACCATGCGCCGCTGCGGCTACCGGTTCACTCGAACCGGTGCGAACCAGTAGCATTTCACCCCTGATCTAAACTTATTACAAAATGTAAAAACTTTTACTAGCTTTTAGAAATTTGAAAACTTTTACAAATGTAGTTTTCCTGTTAGTTTACTCAAATGGGAAAAAATTAGTTTAGTTTATTGTTTATTGATTAATCTGGGAAAATGAAAACTATAGAAAAATAGAAAAGCCTGCTTTTTTTCTTACAACATAAGCAACTAGCTTTGCAAAGCCAATACAATGTATAAAATTTGTACCACAAGAAAGGTCCAAACAATGTATGACTTTGCATTCAATGCAACACCTTTTCTCAGTTAAAAATCAATAGCTTAATTTTATGTATAAAAACCACTACATGATCAGATTATTTGGTCTTTAAAATATTTTGATAATTAAAGGCTATTTGAATAATTTTAAAACTACTGAAACAAAATTAATAGCTAGCAATATTATTAATACTCTCATTCATGCATATTTGAGGATTTTTTTTGTTATGGTAATACTGCTCAAAAATATTTTCCCCAGAAATGCTTGCCTTATTTAGTGCCTCTTTATTTGGATCAGGTAATGATTTGGAGAATTTTTGATGAGTTCAGTAAACATGTGTGTCCCTAAAGGAAAAAAAGCTTCAATATTTTATCTTGTTTTAATGAAATCATTACAATTTGTTTCTATTTTTAATATACTATTTTTTGGGTTTTGATTATAAAGATTTTGTTTAAAAATATACTCCTTTGTAAATTACTTTAGGAATCCCTCTGATAACAAGAGAGTAAACTGAGGAAAAGAAAAATCATTAGATAGCCTGATCATCTAGCAGTGATCATTACTACAAAATGCAGTCTTGCTTCAGAAGCAATGTAGAATATGGTCCATGTGTATGCATATATTTCTTCCTCTAGCATATAATTAAGAGCTCCAATTTTGGATTGAATTTACTTTCACCATTCTGTTAGAATAAAATAGAAACTTTATTTAGTCAGCATAAAACTGACTAAATAAGTATAAAACTAACACAGATATACAAGTAGATACAAAACTCCAGAAAACAATAGGGCATATTCACTGTAAGTTGTCAGCCCTACTATTAAAAATTGAATTATAAATGATAAACTTTAAGGTAGTACTGTTTTATGTATTTAGAAAAGAAAAGCAAGCAAAAGCTACTACTAAAACAGAAGCAACTTTCAACATTGTAATGAAACAAAGAAAAATTAAGTATACCCATTTTAACTCAATTGTATCAAACAGATGTAAAAACCATTAAGTTTTCAAAAAGGAAACTGCGAAAAGAGGCAAGTTTGAACATGAGCCACATGTTCATGGAACTAATCGGTTTCATTTTCTGAATCTCAACTAAAATGATATTCAACTAATATTCTCTGATTTTCTCGTTTTCTATCATTTCGATGGATATCTGAAAACTGCTATCTCGCCTGTCCTGAGATGAGCTTCCCTATTTTTTCACATATTAATATAATTGCAAATTTTTAAATCTTTTCATTTTTGGTATCATTTTAAACAAAAATGTCATACCGACACAATCTTATTTAAGTGAGCAAAGGTGAGGGCAGCACAGGCATCAAAGCACTGTAGTTGTTTGGCTCCACACGGAATAATTATAACACTTTTTAAGCAGAAGAGTGGTGAAAGACATGTGCTAAAACAGGTTATCAATTTTTGAGATAAGTAATTCATCCAAGCTGGGATAAGAGATTTTAAGAGGTTTTCCTTGTACCAAAAAATCCCCAAACACATCAATGTTTTAAAAAATATTCAAATGTCAGTAAACTATACTATCAATTTTGAAAATACCCATTACTTGTGGGAATCAATCAAAGGCTAATATGGTAGTATAAAGGATTAAAGTAAGTTTTCCTATACAAGCTCAACTACATCCATATGTTTTTCTCTTGGCAGCAAAACAGAAATGGTTTGCTATTGCTTTTTTTCCTGGATTTTTTGTTTGTTTGTTTAACTTTCCTTTCTACCCTGTAGATTTGGTATCCCTTGGTGGCCTTCCATCCGACTCTTCACAAGGCCAGTCCCTGCCTAGCTTACATGCCCACCAAAAGCTGGACAGGTGCTGCCACCTCCAGCACCCAACCACCTTAAGCAAGTCTTATAAGTTGCTCAACCTTACCGTGAGAGTCTAAAACACCATTTTGAGCTTCTGAATTTCGGGGGGGGGGGGGGGGAGCGACAAATGTTAACAGTTTTGGCAAATTACAAACCCCAGCCTAGCCCAGCCCAGCCCAACCCGAGAATGCCCTTTTCCAGTGTCCACAAGCCAAGAACTTAACCTGTTAGAAAGTATCCTGCCAAATGCGGGAGCAGCACAGAGCTCTCCCCACTTCAAAGACTTTCAAAGACTGTGCTAAAACACCCAACCATCGGAAGCGGGGGGGGGGGGGGGAGAGAGAGAGAGAGAGAGAAAAGGCGTTTCAGCAAAATAAGCCTCTCTTGACTCCCCAACTCGCCCTACGAAGCTTTTGGGTCTCCCCAGATCTCCCATTCTTCTGCTGAAGGTGTGGGGGGGGGGAGGGAGGGAAACAAATAAAGGGACAACTTGGGTGAATCCAGACTGTTCCGAACAGGAAGAAAAGCAGCAGCCTTTTTCTCTTCTCCTATTCACAGGAAGGCACCTCTCATATCCCAGAAGGAAACGAAAGGGTCATGTCAACGTTTCTCGTCCCCTTCGCCCAAAAACATTCCCGCCACGCCGGGGTCCCGCAGGGCCGGGTCGTTCTCCCCGACTCGGGGGCCCCGCGAGTTCTAGGCGCAAGACGCCACCCAGGCCCATCTCGGGACCTTCCTCCCATCTCCGTAACTAACTTGTGGGGGAAGCGAAAGGAAAAGGAGGGCAGCGGCCGCGCAACAAGTTCCCGGTTGGCCCTAGAGACTCGACTCCTATGTCTTTTCCCTCACCGGCCGCCGCTTCTTCTTCCTCTTCTTCTTCTTCCTCCTCCTCTCCTCTTCCTCGTCTCCCTCCCTCCCTCCTTCCTTCCTTCCCCTCCTTTCCCTTCCATCCCCTCGCCGCCACTCGCGACTCTCCCTCACTTACCTCCGCCATGTTCGCCGCTCAGCTGAGGCGGGCCGAGCCTGGAGAAGGGGAATCACATCGCCGCCGCGGCGGAGAGGAGGAAATGGCACGGAAAGGTTGCGGGAGCAGCGGCGGCGATGGGTCACAGGCTCTGGGAAGCGGCAGCAGTGGATGCAGGGAGGAGGGAGCGGGAAGCCACCAGGGGGAGGAAGAGGCCCAACGTCACCGCGCAAAGGAGGTGGGCGCGCCCGCGACACCGCCTCTCCGCTCCCCCCCCCCGCCCGCTTCCTCGCTTTGCCTGCCCTTCTCTTTCTCTGCCAGCGCGAGCGCTTCAGTCACGAGACGGCGGCGTCCGTTTCCCGGCGTCGCGCTCGCGAAAGGCGCATTCACGCCCCCCCCCCCCCCCCCCCCCCCCCCCCCCCCCCCCACACGAGAAGAGAAACGGTCCCTTCGGGGACTGGGGCCGTTTGGAAGGGGGGGGGGGAAAGGTGTTTTAAACGAACTACGCACGCGCAGTCCACACCCAGGGCCGAGGTCCCGACTTCTCTGGGCGGACGACGAGTCTCCACAACGTAACGCGGGGCCGCCCAATTTTTTTTTTTTTTTTTTTACGATTATTAAAAAAAAATGAGCACCTTGTACAAAACAGCGACTCAACCCACCCGCCCAGATGGGCTGGGGTGAGTCAAAAGCTTCCGCTTCGCCAAAGTTACCCCCCCCCCATCCAATCTCCTTCGGCGCTCTCTTCGCACGTTTACTTTCGCGCATTTTCCCCGCGGTAAAAGAATGGAGCCCAAATTCTTTCCCGACTTGGGTCAAATAAGTATAGCCGCAGCCACTTTCCGTATCGCGAATACGCGGGGATAAAGAAGCAAGAAGAGGGGGACTCGTGATGGGGAAAGCGCTAAAGCCACTCCAGAGCAGGTTATCGCTGCCGTTTATCTTTCTGAAAGGCGGGAAGAGTCGATCACGGCTCGCCCGGTATCCCCCCCCCCAACGCCCCCAGTGTGGTCTCGTATAGGATCTCCTGCTTGAGCAGGGGGATGGACTAGTTTAGTGTTTAGTTTTGAAGCATTTATTTATTATGTCACAGCTAGTCCTCGATTTATAACAGTTCATTTAGTGACTGTTCGAAATCACAACGGCACTGAAAAAAGTGACATGACTGTTTTTCACATTTATGACCATTGAAGCATACTCAGGTAAATGATTTACATTTGGATGCTTGACAACTGATGGTTGCGGTGTCCCAGTTGTCAATTGATCACCTTTTGTGACCTAACAAAGTCAATGGGGAAACCAGATTCACTTAACAATTGTGTTACTAATTTAACAAGTGCAGGGATTCACATAACAAATGGGGTAAGAAAAGTGGTAAAATGGGGCAAAACTCACTTAACAAATTTCTCACTAAACAACATAAATTTTGGACTTAGTTGTGGTTGTAAGTTGAGATCTACCTGTATACTATCTCATATGGGTAGTCCTTGACTTACAACCATTTGTTTAATGACAGAAGTTACAACAGCACTGAAAGTAGTGACGTGACCTTTTTTTTCACACTTAGAACGTTGCAGCATATCCATGGTCATATGATCAAAACTTGGATGCTTGGCAACTGGCACATATTTATGAGGTTGCAGTGTCCCAGAATCATGTGATTGACCTTTGCTACCTTCTGACAAGCAAAGTCAATTGGGAAGCCAAATTCACTTAACCACTGTCTTACTAATATAATAGCTGCTATGATTCACTTAACTGAGGCAAGAAAAGTTGTAAAATGGGGCAAAACTCACTTAACAACTATCTTGCTTAGTAACAAAAATTTGGGACTCAATTGTCATAAATTGAGGACTACCTGTATATTTAAAAGATTAAGTAGTGAAAAGAGCCAAGAGTGCAAGTGTCATAGGAAACAAGGACTGAAGCGACTAATTTATGGTTTGCCATTCTGCTCGTGTGGGAAGAGGGCTCAGGTTAGGACTCAGCAATTTGCAAACCATCCCCCCCTCCCAAACCAAAATAAATTCCTTTTTGGAGTTCTTAGAACTGTATCAGTTGAGCCACCAAAGTTTGGTGACACAGTGCCAACAAAGCAGCCTGGGTTTTCTGACATTTGGTGGCTGAAAATTTCCAGAGCTTTTAACATAGTTAAGGTTGTAAAGAAGACCCTTTAACTCAGGGGTGTCAAACTGGTGGGCCATGGGTCAGATGTGTCACACATAGGCCACGCCCACCTCAGCTCCATGAATGGGAAAAAGTCACGAAATGTCATTTGATGGCAACATGACGCTGCAAGTTTGACACCCGTGCTTTAACCCATTAGAAAAAAAAATCCCAGCACTGCCTGTTTTGTATCTACTGATTTCAGTGGGACAGTCTCTAGTTACATGCAACTATTGCACTCTCCAATAAATATGCATAAGATTGAATTCTGCTGAACTCAGCAGGATTTCCAACAGGACATAAAATGTTGCACTGTAAATGCAAAGATGAAAGCAGTGCAATATAATATAAAAGTGCATTGCAGTACAATCTGTTCTTTTAATGTTGAAATCCAGGATGTGGTTTTATTGTGTCTTAATGTGTCTTCTTGCAGAATTATTCTACGAATTACCAACTATGTAGAAGGGACATTTGAAAAATGTTATAGACATTTCCGATATTGAGTAGGAAGTTAAAAAAGATATATCTTTAGATCCTGTTGTATGCAAGTCATGATACATTGTGTTTCATAGATATGCCATAAAAAATTATCCCTAATTTGCAATTGGTATGGTGGTGTTCCTTTGAGTCAGCGTTGACTCCTGATGACTGCCTGAAGGTCCATGCAGTTTTCTTGGAAATATTTTAGAATTGGTTTGCCATTACCTGCTTTCTGGGGCTGAGAGAAAGTGATGGGCCAAAGGTTGTCCAGCTGGCTTAGTACCTAAGGTGATACTAGTTCTTGTGGTCTCCCAGTTTCTAGCCTGATGGAACCGCCAAACTGGCTCTAATTTGCAACTTACTTATTTAGTTATCATACGGCATGTTCACATCATATTTCAGTAAAAAGGGATAAAATACAAAACAGAAATAAAAAATAATTTGCAACTACTCCCATCTCCGTAACGTTCCCTCCCAGAATCACATAGTTTGAGTTGGATGACTATATATGTGCTGAAATAAATAAATCTTTAATATGAGAATTTAGTGTCTTATCTGATTATATTATACATTGAGTTGATTTGATCCCACTGCTTTTTAGTAACAATTTTCAAATTTTGTACTGCATATTTATTTTAGTTTTGCTTGTTAGTTGCAATATAGACTTCCACAACTGATTTGTCTTTCAGCTCAGTTTAAGAGTTATTATTTAACTCTGCTGATTAGCTTGGTAGCAACTGAAACCTAATTTGTTCAGGGATTACTTTTGATATTTGTGGAAGCTATACAAAGAAAATACTAGGTTGTAGGTTTGTTTTGATTATATTAGTAAATTGTTTTCTACCAGAGGTCTATATAATTATATTATCTTTTGAAACCATTTTTAATGTTTTTGTAGAAATCAAATTAAAAGTTTAATATTTGGACTTTCTGGTCCTGATTGCAATGCTGCCTTCGAAATTGCATAGTTGTCAAATAATGTATTTGAAAGAATTAAGTAAAAGTAGTTACAGGAAAATGAAGGAAAGAGATGAAATTAAATTATTCATGTAATGTTTGAAGTATGCTTGAATGTCCTGTTTCTGAAACAAGTGGCAGGTTATTTTAAAACAATCATGAAGTGTTTTATTTTATTTATTTAATCTATACTATATGTCGCCCATCTCACTATCAAGTGACTATATACAATGTACTTTTTTAATATATATTGGACACCTGTACCAGAGCACATGTATATATTGGACATCACAGTCTTGTGATTCCTGGAGCAGTGATATATGATTTCCGAAAACTGACTATAATACAATTTTTTTTTTCAATTTTGGGCAGGGAAAAAATTAAAATCAAAATTAAAGTGTTATCCCTAAAATAGACACTCAAAACTCCTTAAAATGACAACACCACAGCCTTGCCTACTTGGTAGCCCTTAATCCTGCCTGCATTTAGCATGGTCTTGAATTGCCATCACTCTTGTAAATAATATTCAATAAGAGTTACGTATTATCACCATGCTATTAGATTGACTTGAAAAAAATAATTGAAATGATTTGGACTTGTCTTACTACTGGTTAGACATTTTTTAGGATTTTCAGCTTGTTTTAGTAGTAGTTGCTGCCTGTTAAGGACACTTGACTATATTTCTTAGCTCTATCAAGTAAATGGCACTGAACTGACACTTAATTCATCATTGTGGGTTATTGATACATTCTGCTTATTAGCATCTTTTCGTTTTATAACAGGCAAAAAACAAGTCATTTTCCTGAAATATGGGGGTACTATCACAATTCTCAGTCAACTTTGGGGGAAAAATAATTGCATCTTATCTAGAGACTCTTAAACTATATACCACTAAAATGCTCATTGTCATAACTTTTACCTGGGTAAAACGGTGCATCATAAGGCAACAATTTTTGAACCAGATACAGGAAATGGGCTAATATATAGAGAGTAACCAAAATCTGGGATCCATGACTCTTGAATGAATGTAATTTGGGGACGTTGTGACTGTTTCAGTACTACTGACTTCTGTTGGGTTGCTGCTGCAGTTATTTGATCTTCATTTTAAATATTTGCAGTTTTCCAGTGAATCTCACAATCTCTCTCATTCACTCTGTAATGATGAATTGATTCAGCATGTGACTCTTAAAGAAGCAATAACTTTAAGGTGCATGAAGAAAGGTCTGGATATTTTTTATTGATTTATGTGTTTGTTCTCTGCTGACAAACATGCATATGTATCTATATCCCATCTTTGTTCAAAAACTCAAGGCAATCCATAAGAGTTCTATATTATTATTTTTCTCCACAACCTTGTGAAGTAAGTTGGGCTGAAATTCATTTAATGAGCAGCCGTGGCTACAGATAGAATATAAACTGGATCTCTCTGATGTCAATCAAATACATTAGTCTCTACACCGGGTGTCAGCAACCTGTGGCTCTGCAACCGCATGCGGATCTTTGGGACCTCTGCTGTGGCTCCCTGTCAGGTGATCCCACCACTAGCTGGCCCC